GTGGGTCTTCACCAGCGGCTCCTCCCAGTTTGACATGTCCAGGTGTGGGTCTTCACCAGGGGGTCCTCCCAGTTTGACATGTCCACAACAGCTCCTGAGGGAAGTCCAGAGAGCATCTTTCCTACATGATCTCAACTGGTTTCTTTTGATGGGACAAACTGAAAACCTGTCTGACCATGTGAACCAGTTAAAGCAAAATGCAAACATTTTAAAAATATTGATGATTTAATGTAAATGACCAATATTACAAACTAACTCATGACATTCAACATTTAATAAATACAGAGAAATGTTGAACAGCTCATAGTGATGGGAACTTGTTGTAGGCTGTGTCCTAATCCAAAGAGTCCTCTGACACGGCCCACAAACATGTCCTCCTTTGTCCCCAGTCTGAGGGACTGGTCCGGTGGATCCTTGTCGGTCCAGCCTATTCTAAGAAGCATTTTGGGCCGACCAGAAATTTCTTCAGCTTGTAATGGTGGATGAAGTCAGAGAGGAATACAGTTTAATAAACTAATAGTTGTTGTAAAAGTGTGAAGGTTAAAGCAGTTGTGTTGTTAACACTGTTTCCATGTGTGTAGACATGTTTGTTTAATATTATTCTCATCAAACCAAATGAGCTGATGTTGTGAAATGAATGAGTTTGTACGACGGCTCCCTTAGTTCTTCAAATATTGCCTCTAAATTAATTTTGTTATTTTATAATAACAATAATAATAAAACTAATATATGATATTTTGTTATTTTTAATTAATTTTTGATTCTGTGTAGTGTTGTCACAGTTGCCAGGTGAAAATACATATGCTGGGGTGAGGGTGGGAATAAAGCTGAAGGCTGAATCTTTCAAATTCACAGCTACTTTTTCCTGTCGTTGTGATGGATGAAGGACGCAGACCCTGAATTAAGACACATATTAGCTGTGTCCAAAACAGCCCAGTGTAGGTGGGCCGGGTCCTCCGAAAGACCCAGCCTTCCCAGTGTAGGTGGGCCAGGTCCTCCGAAAGACCCAGACTTCCCAGTGTAGGTGGGCCAGGTCCTCC